ATCTGGGAGGTGAGGGTGGGGCCAGGTCCAGAAGCAGTGCTCCTAGGGCCCAGGGAAGGCACTAAGTTGGTCTGGGTGAAAAAGATCAGGAAGCAGTATTGGTTCCCCAGGTGTCTGGGGACCCAAGACTAGGAATGGTGCAGGGTCCAAACTAGGAGTAGAGAACAGTGGGGGAGATGGAAGGGTGAATGTGGCTGGGTGAGTCAAGGCACGGAGGGCTGCGCTATAGACTTATCCCAAGAGGCCTGAGGATAGGAGTGCAGGCTAGGAGAGTTAGCCTGTGGGACAGGTCCCAGGGTGCAGAGAGAGTTGAGGGCAGGGCCTGGTCCAGAAGCGGTGCTCCTGGGGCCCAAGAAAGGCACTAAGTTGGTCTGGGTGGAAAGGATATGGAAGCAGCATTGGTTCCCCAGGTGTCTGGGGCCCCACGACTAGGAATGGCGCAGGGCCCAAACTAGGAGTAGAGAACAGCGGGGGAGATGGAAGGGTGAATGTGGCTGGGTGAGTCAAGGCGCGGAGGGCTGCGCTATGGACTTACCCCAAGAGGCCTGAGGATAGGAGTGCATGTTGTTGGTTTTTTTTTTGAGACAGGTCTCCCTGTAGCCCCAGCTGGCCTATGTAGACCAGGCTGGCCTGGATCTCACAGAGGTTTGCCTGCCTCTGTCTCCCAAGTACTGGGATTAAAGGAGTGCACCACTAAGCCCAGCTAATTTTAAAAATCTTTTAAGAAGTCTAAATTGGGTGTGATGATTCATACCTATGGTTCCCTTGGTGTATTTGGAAGGAAAAAGCAGGAGGATTAGGAGTTCAAGGTCATTCTCAGCTATGGAAGAGTTCAAGACCAGCTTGGGCAGCATGAGACCCAATATAAATCAATAAAATAAATAAATAAGTTTACTGTTTTGTATACTTTTGTTTATAGCCTATACAGTTCAGACATCCAAGAATGTGAGGCCAACAGCAGCTTCTGAGGCCCATTCAAAAGCTTTGGCTGTTTGTCAGGGACCTCTGGACCACTATGACTTTCTGATCAAAGCTCAAGAGTTGAAGGATGATGAACATCAACGAAGAGTCATACAGTGTTTGCAGAAATTACAGGAGGACTTGAAAGGATACCATCTAGAGGAAGAAGGCCTTTTTTCAAAGGTAAGTTTGTCGTGATATTGAAGATGAAACAATTAAAGGTGTGAGCATTTTCTAAATGGATTCTGTCCTGCGGGGCTGAAGCGACTGTCAGTCATGAAACAATTTGAGAATTTTCCACCAGTTTCATTAAACAAGCTCTCCTGGCCCCCAATTCCTGCCCTTTTGTTGTTCTATAACATCCTTTTACCTTCATGGATTCAAAGAGCTTCATAATTCGGTTATTAAATAATGTAGCCTCAAGCTGTGCCTGGTGGTGCACACCTTTAATCTCAGCACTCAGGAGGCCGAGGCAGGCAGATCTCTGTGAGTTCAAGGGCAACCTGGTCTACACAGTGAGTTCCAAGCCAGCTGGGGCTATAGGAAAACTGTGTCTCAAAAAGGCATTAAAAAAAAAAATTGTAGCCTCATCTAAATGAGGCTTCTATGGGATTCCCAGCTTTCTCTTTCCTTGGGCTTCCTGCTGTGAAAAGAGGTGAAGGGGAGGGGAGTCCTTCTCCTTTTCTTCTCTTTGCTTGCTTGACTTCTCTGGGATCAGAATGAAAAGGATGAAAGATTCAAGTGAACAGCAGACTTAGGTGCCTTTTAGCCATAGGTGCTGACCACCAGCTCTTTGTTAAGGGGTACATTGGTAAGTTCCTCAAGACCCTCCTTGGGATTGTCACAGCCTTCCATTCTTTGACTGCCTTCTTGTGACTTGGGAAATACCTCCCACCCATGCCTTGTGCTGGTACCTCCTTTTCCTTGCACTCAGCCTTTTTGGGCAGGTCCTTTCAGGACAGCTCTCCCTGGATCACCTTTATGTGTACAGTCAAAACCATAGGAAGTAAGATTTTGTTTCTTCAACCCCTACAGCATGGAGAGTTTTAGTCAGCCTCTCGCCCGTGGACTTCTGCAGTCAAGAAGTACCTATCAGATTGATTTTCTCCAGTACACTCTCATATTTCTAAGGATGCATGTCAGGCTTATCCACATGCTCTTCCATACTCTCCTTTGGTAGCTACCTGTGGATTTTTTCATTTACCTGGGAAGGGAGATGCCATCTCTTCTTATACTCAGTCCTAACCTTTGGATGCTTCTCTTTTAGACACCCACCCCTGTATTCAGTCAGCATGAGGGAGGGCCACAATACTTCTTACCCTGCTAACTTGTCTACCTTCATTCTTTTTAGTTCCTCTTTGGGGTTAAAGCTGATTTTCCCTTTTTAATTAATTAATTAATTAAATAAGAGACAGAGTCCTGCTATGCAGACCAGAATAACCTCAAAACTCTTATAGATTTGGGGGCAGGGAAGATTAAACCCAGGTCTGTGCACATGCTAGAAAGGCACTCTAACCACTGAGCTATGTCCCCAGGCATGCACCATCATGCCAGGGTTGATGATGTTTTTCTTTTAAAATAATGAATGTGACTAGTGCCTCTCTTTGGTGGTATATGGAGAAATTGCCTCTTCTTTCTCTAAGCTTTAAACTTTTGCTAAAATTCTATCCCAATAGGAAACCTCATTCCTTATCCCATGGTGGAAGCCAGCATCATCAGTGGAATCATCTTTAGTAGTAATAAAAGTTGTAAAATGGTTGAACTTGAAAAATAAGTTTTTCCTCAACTGACTGATCACAACTCTCCTTCTTCCCCTAACCTAAACATTTGTTATTGCTGTTGTTGTAAGGTCTTTAGGAGAAAGGCACTGTGCAATATATGTTAGTTAATAGTTTGTTTAAAGCTCTGAAGAGGGGCTAGAGAGACGGCTCAATGGGTAAGAGCATGTACTGCTCTTTCTTTTTTGTTTTTTGTGCTACTTATTTATTTATTTATTTATTATTTTTGAGACAGGATCTCCCTGTAGCCCCAACTGGCCTGGAACTCAATATGTAAACCAGGCTGGCTTTGAACTCACAGAGATCCGCCTGCCTCTGCCTCCCAAGTGCTGGGATCAAAGGCATGCACCACCAAGCCCAGCTTTCATACATGCATTTTTAAAAAAAAAAATCTTCAAAATAAAGAAACCCCCTCTGCTTCCCTAGGCCTGCACGACCCACAGGCCTCTCTCTGACCCACAGGCCTCTCTCTGGAGGATCCAGACCTTAGGAGAAAGCCTGAGAGCATCTGATCCTTATCTGACT